AAATTACATTAGTAGGCAAAATACCCTACTCAACAAAATTATCGCAACAAAAAATTTCATCGAAATTTTGTTAATTTTCAAATGCTTCTACCTTGGTATATTTTCATTGTATCAGGACGAATTTTCGATTTCTTGGAAATTGTAACTTCTTTACATCCATATATATTATGTATGGGTTCGAGTTATTATCGAGTTACTATAGTAGTGTTTGAGCGCAACACTATAAGTTAATGAAAAAAATTGATTGTTCAAACGTGTTCATAGACTACAGTAATTTGTTTATCAAAATTTAACATACGTCATCGCAAAGTACTCTTTTCAACTAGTAATTTAAAAGTAGAGAGTTCTTAAAGACTTTATTTTACCCCCTACAGGCCGCTTTGAAGGTACTAAACATATCGATAAAGAAGAGACATAGCGGTCATGTACGTTATACGATCCACAATGCAGTCTTTCGTTAATCTAATTGATTCATGAATTAAAATTATTTTAATTCTCAAATCAATTTGATCCGTGAATTAAAGTTAATTTAACTCTTTCATGATTTGAATTAAATTTCATATCTTCAGTTTCCCCGATTTGATCATGCTCCAAGGAGTAGTAAAAGTAGCCAAAAGTGGATTTCTCCCGTACGTTAATAGTTCTTTTGGGCTTTTTAGGCCCGGAAAAGATTAAAACGGATCAAAGCAGAACTCTGCAGGATATGGTTTTTTTATGAATTTTTTGGGTCCCAGGTGAGTTAAAGAGATACGTAATGAATTTCTCCAGGAAAATGATCTTAAGAAATTTACTATGCGTATCTCTTAGATCTAATAGATCTAAGAACTATGTGTATATCAGTTCGACTTTAATTCTGAATTGGCGAGTAAATGTAAACGCAGCGAAGTAGGAAATACGCCTATGCTAATCTGTGTATTATTGTGATTATTGCCGCGTATTTTATACACGCTGTATTGACGTTTTTACACAAGTTGAACCGCTCTTGAAAAAATTACATGAAGAATCAGCGAAATTTTTTAAAGAACGGTGTATATGAGAAGTTCACTCTAGGCTATTTTTACTACTTAGAGAATGAGCAACTTGGAGAAATTGAAGACATGAAATTTGATTCACATCATGAAAAATGTAAGTCAAGTTTAATTAAAAAATCAAATTGATTTTTGAATTAAGAGGAGTTTCTCATCAAGCTCTACCAAAATATCAATTTTTTTTGTATTTTTGAATTGCTCCCTTCCCTTGCTAAAATTTCGTATATAAATTCGAATTCTCAGTCAGTCAGTCAAGATTGATGTTTGTAAGCTCTTAGACAGCGCTCAATAACAGTTGACAACTTTAAATGAGTTATTCTTAAAACCATGTTTTTTCTGAGACGGGTGACAACCCCTACGGAAATTGATCCACACACTAAGTCTTTAGAAACTCTTAAAAACTCTTTAAAAGACTGAATAAGTCTTATAAAATTCTTACAAATGTCCGGATTTTGTACCATGATTTCAAAATTTAATAAACTTTATAACAGTTTCAATTGATATGAAATTTTTTTATAAATGTATGTGAAACCTAATATTGGGTTTCTAAAATGTTCAGAAAAATAATTTTAAAAATTTTTACAAGTAATTTTAATTGCTTTAAAGAGTTATAAAGAGTTTTGAAGAGTTATCAAGTGTTTATAAGAGTTTTTAATAGTTTTAAAAACGTTTTTGATTGATTAACGCTCACCAAAAATCATGGTGAAAAAACTATACGGGCAACCATATGAACAATACATAAAAAAAAAATAAATGAATAGAAAACTTAACACTTTTGCCAAAAAATCGAGTTTCCACAAGGTTTTATGAATTTTTAAAAACTCTTATTAACTCTTTAAAATGATTAATCAGGTGTACGAATTTCGTACATTTATAAGACTTATAAAGACTTTGTAAGACTTTATAAAACTATATCATGAGAAAAGTTTCCGTTGGGGAAGGTATCTCAAAAACTACTGTAGATATCTGTATTTGTAATTTTTCAGTCATTATTTTTATTGTTTCATCATTTCTTAAAGCCAAAATAGGTGTGAACATATTTCTTTTTTTTGCGAATCCGTTATTTTGTTAATTTTTAACTTTTCTTGAAGATTTTAGTTCAGAGTCCAGCAAATATCTTCTATTTTATAAAAAAAAATTTGGTTTGTTTTTAATATAGTCGCGCCATAATAGTCAATAAGACTGCGCCACGGTAGAAAAAAAATGTTAACTTTATATCGAAGATTACCCTTACAAAAATTTCCTATAGTATCCCGCAAAATTTCTACAGGGGTCCTATAGGATTCCAGTAGGAATTTTGCGGGATCCTATAGAAAATTTTTATAAGGGTATTTAATTTGTAAATCCATGTGTCCCACAGAAACAGTCACCTCAGCTGATATAAAATTCGATTCTAGACACACAACAACGAGCTTCGTCGTCGACGAGCCGCCGAGCTTCATCGTCATTATCAATCATCATCGTCGTCATGATAAAGATCATGAGCTAAAATAAAATTTTTTCGCCGTTTGCACCGTTAACAATATCCAATTTTTAAGCCGGATTTTGGAAAATGTTGTTCATTTACTAATTTTTAGGGCTGTGCGAGTACCCGATTTCGACAAGTCGACACTTATAACAAACGGAAGGAGTATTTACTCGAAAAATCGAGTACTCGATTCGAACTCGAGGAAAAAACTCGATCTCGACGAGTCAAGTTTTTTCGAGTACTCGCACAGCTCTACTAATTTTCTAACGTATGGTAAATCAAAATAGTGATGTCATCGTAAGTAGAGACAGTTAATTTTAAGCATAAAATTAAACTTATTTTGTGTACAATCTGTAGGTTTCAGATTAAATGATTAATTCTAATTGGAACCATTAATGACGTATCTGCCCAATTTTAATGACGACTTTCAAACATAATTAGTTTCTATGTTATTAGCCTCAGAAAATTGTTTTAGACAAGTGGTCTCGACGGAGAATTTCATGTTTTCTTATAATCCGGTCCCAGAACCGCAAAATTTTTTAATGCAAAATTAAATATGGCTGATTTTAAAATTATAAAATATTACAAAGATTTAGGTATTTTGAGATATAAAAGGCAGGAAATATCTGCAATATTGATCATTCATCGGTGCTCAGATTGGTTGAACTTCACAACAGGGAATTTTTACATTTATTAAATTTTAAACAATAGGAAGGATTACATGCCAATGCTTTAATAAAGGTTTTCTGAGAACAATAATAGCATTGATCAAAGAAATTTTTATTTAATCTTGAAGTATTTGAGGAGAAAATAATTAGTTTTAATTATGAAATTTTAACTAAAAACATTTTATTTTAATATTTTTTTTCTGAATTCTATGAACATTTTTTCAAAACTTTTGGAAAAAATTTTTCAATTTATGGAAATCAATAACATTTAATTCTTAGAATTTTTCTTCATCAAATTACTAGGTATATCAAATATTTGATAAATAAAACAAATACTATAAAGACACGCATAGTTGCAAGACGCTTTAAATTTGAAAAGTTATTGAGTTCATGTATGTAATAAAATGGATATGAACCTGTTATCAATTAATTTATTGGATTTCTTATTTTTATGAATAATTCAATTGTCTGTTGAAATATTTGAAGTTTATGGTACCAAATCATAGTGTTCTTTATGTAAAACTTGTGAGTTCTGAAAAAGTGTAATAATATGTTCAATAGTTTTTTTATTTTTTTTAATCAAGTACTTTCAATATGAAATGTACATCTTAAAAGCATAATTTTTGTTGAGCGTTTTTTTATTGAAAAAAAAAAAATTTTTTTTTATCATAAAAATAATATTTTGAGTTTCACATATAGCATTTGGCTCTAAATTTCTGCATCCAAGGTAACGGTAACATCTGTTATTTATCTTGATATTTTATATTCCATCCCATAATAACCTATTTGTTTATTTTATTCTGTACCTAAATTTTTTAAAATAATTTCAAGGAAAATTATAGCACAAATATATTCATTTAGTGCTTTTAGCTTTTGTGGAAGCATGTTTTATTAACAGAAAAAAATAGTGCAACCTGACCCTAGTAACGTAATCTAAATCAAGATCAAGACTTACAAAAAATAAAAAAGGATCATTTATTAAGGTAATTTATAATTTTTCATTGATCAGTTTTGCACTAAATAATAATACAGTCATTATATTTATTAGTCAAAAGAATATAATTAACATAATCAAAAAATTGCCTTTTTTTTTATTTCACAAATCAACCTGCATCATTAATTTTCTTAATTCCATCACTTCTTAAGTGTTAGTTGTAGTAATTATTTAAATCTTTAAAGACTGTATCATGTAAAAAGTATTTCAAATTATTCATTTGCACAAGCCATTGATTGTAGTCATAAAGATCATAATATATAACCAATAAACCACAGCAACAAAACTATAATAATAATAGTTCACATCCATTTAGGCATCAATATTATTATTTATTAAAATATCAAAAGGAATATTACAACTTGTTTCCTTGATGTAATTGTTGATTTGAATTATTTTTCATTGTCAGGCATGACACATGAACACAAGCAAGCAATAGTTATTAAATTTATCTATTACTTTGTCAAAAATTTAAATTCTATTAACTTGTACCCATATGGAAATAAAACTGTGGTAAAATTATGGGAAGATAGAAGTATAGAAAAATGAATGATTTAGTTCATTTGCCACACTTTTCCCATAATTTAAAAATCACTTAAATAAAAAGTTATAGGAAAACTATGTCAAATGAACTAAATCAATAATTTTTCCATACTTCTTTATCCCCATAATTTTACCACAGTTTTATTTCCAAGTTTGAACTCTATTATACTGCGTCCTCGCTCTTCTACATTACCAATTGTAGACGTCCCCGTACGGCTTGCTGACCACGAATTCAGAGTACCTGAAAGTAAGATTTTTTGGCCGCGCGCGGCGCCACACCGCTCGCGCCGCGTACGGCCGCCCTTCCGCCTCAGTTGCTTTTTCGTGCGTGCACGCTGCACACGTATAGTGAGTTTAACCTAGAAAAGTAAAGTAAGATGCCCAAAAAATCGAAGAGAGAAAGAGAGCCTGAGGAGAGGTTGGAAAGGCTCCTCAAGAAAGTTAAAAAGTTGAATGCTGAGGTGGAAAACGTTAAGACTGGCCTAAATAAGGACGAGGACGGCGGAAATAAATCTCCATTGGGTGATGAAAATGCTTCGCCAAACACCAACAATGGCGTACTGCAGTCACCGCCTCCCAGAGATCCGTTGTCTCCTGAGGGCACCGAAAGCGAGGGAAAAACTATCGAAGAGGAGGATGACGAAACTATCGACGATGATAATTGGAATAAAATAGTGAGTAAAATTATTTTAATAAAATCATGCATTAGTGGCTCGACGGGTGAGCATAATGGCGGATCACTGTCCGACCTCCGTATAGCGCTGTGAAACAGTGGCGCATGGACGACGCGTTTCTAGGAATTACACAGTTATTGGACGCTCGCGCGTATGCGGCGCTCGAGGCAGTTTCGTGCTCGTATTTATATGCATACGTTCATGTACGTTTACTGTTCTTTCTGCACGGTGTGTTTGCACGAGTGGCAAGACAAGCCGTTGTATATCGCGCTAGTGCTTGTATGCGTGACAAGACGTGCTGCTGCCTATTATGAAATCTGCCGGTGTTTGTACGCGTGACAAAACGAGGCTAGAAACATAGTGCTTATGCAATTAAAAATTGAAAAATTTTTTCAATGCGCTCTGACGCTAATTTATTGTTCCCCTTTTCTGCTCGCAGATTGGTGAGGACCCTTCTTCTGCAAAAGGTGAAAAACTCTCCGTAAAGAAAGATTTATTAAAGATATGGCAATTTCTCTGTCGCGATGGCATGTCAAAAGAAAAGGAAGAGGCCTTGATTGAAAAATATCAGACCTTAGAGGAACTGGCTCCACCCGACTTGAACCCACAGCTAGACAGCATTTTGAAAGAGACAGNCACAAATTCCGCAGTCGACATAATCCTGGCGTCATTAAGTAAATCGACATTTAAACAATACAACGGCGCACTGAAGCAGTGGTCTGATTTTACAAAAAGAGCCAATATTGAATTTTTTGATATTACCGTAAACACAGTGTTAATTTTTTGATATTACCGTAAACACAGTGTTAGTTTTTCTTACTGACCGATTTGAAGCAGGAGCTTCATATGGAACTTTAAATACGTACAGAAGCGCAATGTCGTTAATCTCTAAGGACAAGATAGGAGAGAACACTGATATTTCAAGGTTTATGAAAGGCGTCTATAGACTCAAACCTGTAAAACCTAAATATGATTATACTTGGGATGTCTCGATTGTATTAGATTTTCTTGAGTTGCTCGATGTACAAACAATTGAAAATCTTACTATCAAGACAATATTATTACTAGCCCTAAGCACTGCGCAGCGAGCGCAGACTCTGTCATTAATCAAAATAAGCAATATTGTGATATCTAATCGCGGCTTGGAAATTAAAATACCTGATCGAATAAAGACTTCAAAGGTTGGCAATAACCAACCACTTTTACAATTACCTAAGCTAATTGAAAAACCCGACTTATGCGTATATTCTACGATACTTCTGTATATTGACAAAACCAAAAATCTCAGAGGAGATATTGATAATTTATTCATAAGTTTAAACAAACCTTATCGAGCAATCACAGCTGAGACTGTCAGCCGCTGGATTAAAAGAGGTTTATTTATGAGTGGTATCGACACCACAATTTTTACGGGCCATTCTACGCGCCACGCAGCAAGCTCCAAAGCTTTACAAAAAGGAATCGATATAGATACGATAAGACGCACAGCGGGCTGGTCGGAAAAATCAAGAACGTTTGCCAATTTTTATAATAGGCCGATCGTTACCGACAGTTTCGAGTTAGCGAATTTAGTTTTAAGATGTAATCAAAATGATTAATGTTTAATATTCATCTTTATAATTTATTGTCATAAATAAAGTTCAAATTAAATAAATTTCACCTTCTTGTCTCTGAACATCTACAATTGGTAATGTAGAAGAGCGAGGACGCAGTATAATTAAACGATCAAACGAACTTACCGAGTGAAGTTCGATCGTAATTATACGAAGTCCTCGCTCGAATACATTACCACCCACCACAGACTCAGACCCTCCCTTGGAAGAAGCGGTGAAATTTTTTTCGTATAACTTGCTCTAAAAACTGAGGCGGAAGGGCGGCCGTACGCGGTGCGAGCGGTGTGGCGCCGCGCGCGGCCAAAAAATCTTACTTTCAGGTACTCTGAATTCGTGGTCAGCAAGCCGTACGGGGACGTCTACAATTGGTAATGTATTCGAGCGAGGACTTCGTATAATTACGATCGAACTTCACTCGGTAAGTTCGTTTGATCGTTTAATTGCATTCAGAGATTAGTTTGCACTATATTTTACAAGAATACTTCATTATTGTGTATAAGAATCTAAACAAATTTACAGCTAAAGACACTTGTGAAACTATTTCATTTAGTGTGTTTTGACTTATTTGTATACCAAGTGATAACTTTTAAGTAAAGAAAAATCAAGTATTATATACATTTTAATAATACCGGGCAGGGCTTTGTGAAATGAATCGTACACACGCGTCCTCTAGAGATTCGTTGAGGAAGCGACAAAAGTAGGCAAAAATTGTAAATTTATGTGAATTTACCAATCGGCTTGGATTAATAAATTGTGAATCGCATTTTATTCATTTATTCTTTTTGATCGGAAATACACACTTAAATTAATTTAAAGTAATACTTCTTCAGGCGCGTTCAATTAGTTCCTAGTTGAAAAAATTGGATGGATATTCAACCAATTAAGTCCCAAAAGGACGTTTTTTCTACACGTTTATTCGGCCAATGTATTTTTGGTGTAAATGGGATAAAAAAATATGCGATTAACTTATTCTAATGTAAAATTAAATGCCCTTTCAAAATCTGATTTCAGATTTTCGAAAAAATGATCGGATCAAAAGTTAAACTTGATTAAAAAACAAACGTGATTTTGAAAAAAAAATTTTTTTTCTTTTTCGATTTTCCAAATAGAAACCATTTGAATTCTCAGGGGTTTCGTGTAAATATCGCGTCCTCGATATTTAAACTTAAAGATAGTGGGGTTAAAATTGAAAAAAATAAAGTTTAAAAATTTTTACTCAAGCCCTTCGTGTTTTAGAAAAATTCTAGAAGTTTTCATTCATTTTTTCGTGTTTCGACCGCCATTTTTTGTTTAAAAATTAATTTTTTTAATAGGAACCCCGCCAAATTTCAGTATAGATATCGAGGACGCGGCATTTGCACAAAACCCCTGAGATTTCAAATGGTTTCTATTTGGAAAATCGAAAAATGAAAAAATTTTTTTTTTCAAAATTACGTTTTTTTTGTTAAATCAAATTTAACTTTTGACCTGATCATTTTTTCGAAAATCTGAGATCAGATTTTGAAAGGGCATTAAATTTTACATTAGAATTAGCTACTGGCATATTTTTTGACCCCATTTTCACCAAAAATACAGTGGTCGAATAAAGTGTTGAAAAAACGTCCTCTTGGGACTTAATGGGTCAAGTGAATTAGCCAGCCGCATGGTTCACAGTGGGTATTCCTCGTGGATCATCTCATTTCACACCGAAAACTCGTGGATCAGACATGGCTTTAAAAAAATGAATCTTCTTGGATTTTGTAACTTATCCACGTGGATAATCGAATAATCCATGAGACTGCAGGCGAAGAGCCTCGTGGGCTAAACAAAAATCAAAGTGGATATCACACGATTTTTTCAGGTACTGACCCAGTTGAAAAAGTCGTGTGAGCTACTTTGGAGACGTTACAGTCTGCTTGTGTGATTAGGTAAATATTGTTCAACTCTATCAAACTAAAACTGTAGTATCCTTTAATTAGTCGCCTCGAAAACGTAGCTGTTGAGTTCGATTCCCGATATGCGCTACAAGTTGCGTAGAGGAGTGTTAAATCCCGATTTACCAATAAGAGAAATAAAATATTACTAACATACCGAAAAGGTTGTTTTGTGAGCATGAGTATTGATTACACTGACACGAGAAGAGGCACAAGTGACGGCTATGCCGGTACGAGTGGTTTGTTTCGCGCTTACTGTGCGGAAAAAGCTGGGTAAGCGTTGCATACAAACTTTATTATGCAATAAAATGCGAAATGTCCATAAATAACAAGCGTGATATTTCACAAAATACCAAAAATTTTACCGCACACCAGTGTCCAAAAACGCTTTTTTAACACTGTGTGCGCGAAACACGGGTTTTCTAACCTTAAAGCGTCAGAAAACGGCATGGCCGGCACTCCCCTTATAAAAATTTCCTATAGGATCTCGCGAAATTCCTACAGGAGTCCTATAGGATTCCAATAGGAATTTCGCGGGATCCTATTGGAAATTTTTATAAGGGTCGTGTCCTTTTCCGCTTATTCGTGCCCAAAAACGCCTTTTGGGCCCTTGTTGCATAAATAACTATTATTTTTTTGGAAGGTCTAACGTTGATTTAACTATGAAGAGGAGGTCTTATATAGGGAGAGTTTATTAGAGTATATTACACTCTGCTCGTTCGAAAGTGAATATACTAAAAGATCATCCAAGTGTTCTTGTTTTAAACTAGTGCAATATCCCGAAGGCCCTCACCCAAATTTGATGGGCACTACTTTATTCGGGTTTCTGAATCACTTGTAAGTCACCAAAAAAATTACACAAGTGCACGGCTTTAAAAAAAAAAATTATCAATTACAAAATAATAAAATTTCACGAGAATTATTCATGTACCGATTAGACAACTGATTGTTTGCTCAATAAACAGTTAATAACTCGTGGAATTTTCGACCCGCTAACCTGACACATTCGTACTCTCATAATCATTCCTTAATTTTATGGTCATTGTTAAATGGGGATAACCTGAGCTTGTCTATCTTGCTTTGTCGAACTCGCGCCACCAAAATCACCGAGTAGGCCCGCGGTAAAAGGCCCCTTGTTATTGCGGGGGACTCTAATGCATGATCGACGGAGTGGGGACGTAGGGCGACTAGACTGCGTGCGACCATCCTCCTTGACTTGCTCTCTCTCCTCGATGCGGTGCTGCTTAACACTGATGACGCTCCATCCACAGCGACCATCAGGCCATTGTCTTTGAGATCGAAAACACCAGGACTTTCATCCGGCCCTGGACGCGCCAAAGCTGCAGATGGAACGCCCATACTCTCAATGCAAACCGTTTTTCTGCCATCGTGGCCAGCGCAGCAGTCCCACCCGGGACCGCAGAAGATATGGTGACGAATCTCATGGCCGTCATCACCGGCGGATGACTAAGGCAAATCTTCGCCGCCGTCGTGAACCGGTATACTTGTGGACGGATGAGATCGCCAATCTCCGGTACACTTGTCTGCGAGCTCGCAGACTCTTCTAGACATCACGTAGCCGACAAAGCGAACAAGCCTACAGTGCGAACTATACCTCTGGTGACGTTTGAGAAAAAACCTTACAAGATTGTCATGTCGCGTTTGTGAGACTCGCAAACCAAGCAGCATAGCTCCCTTCTTCTAGTGCGCAGTGCGGTGGTGGCTCTGCTTCCGCGGGTGCCGGGCAAGCCCGCCTTCCCACTGCCACATCGAGCAGGAGAACGTATCCCAGCTGTCACCTTGGAAGAACTCAGTAGAGCCCTGTAGAGGATCAAGGAACGCTCCGCGCCCGGCCCAGACGGCGTACCTAACTCGGCGCTCGAGATCGCCATTGCCACGCGCCCCGATATCTTCCTGCGGATGTACGACATTTTCAAATCCCCTGATGAGCCGTCCTCATATCGTCAGCTGTGTATGCTGGACACGACGGGCAAGATTCTTGAGAGAATCATATGCAACCGGCTGGAAGCTTTCACAGAGAGACCCAAAGGCCTCTCGCAAACGCCAGGAATGCGTTCAATTCGGCACGGTGGAACAACATCCTCGCCGTTCTATGCCATTTGCGTACACCTAATTACTTGCTGAGAACAATTATCAGCTATTTCTCAGCAAGAGTGCTCGACTTCGTTACGGACAACAGCTCGGAGTCTTATAAAGTCTCAGCTGCTGTTCCACAGGGGTCGGTTCTGGGCCCGATCCTGTGGAATGTCATGTACAATGCCATCTTGTGTCTCAGTTTCAAGGGTGACATTCATATCGGTGGCTTCGCGGACGACATCGCCGTTGTGGCAGTCGCTAAGCACTTATAACAAATCGAACAAGACCTGAATGCTGCCATCCTACAGGTGCGAGGCGGGCTCAAAGCTCTCAGCTTACAAACAGCTAACCACAAGACGGAGGCCATACTCATCACCAGCAAGAAGGAAGTGGGAAACCATCATCATCACGATAGGCAACCACAGCATGAGCTCGTCTCCTTTCATCCGCTACTTGGGTCTGCATATCGACGCCAAGATGAAGCATGTCTTCTACGAGGCGACATACGTTCTTGACGGCATACCACCGCTGGCCCTCCTCATGGACGAGTGAGTGCGGCTCTACAGATGCCGTCGAGAGGACGCAAAGGACGAGGAACGCTTGGTAACGCTAAGCAAATGGCAAGATGCATGGGACCAGTCGACTGATCCCACGGATCAGAGTGTGGGTCGAGAGGAAACAAGGAGAGTTGAACTACCATCTCACGCAACTCTTGACCGGGCAGGCCTTTTCAAACACCATAGCGGGCGCTACGATCACAATCATAGTGCTGAATACCCAGTTTGCCACTCGTCCATCAAGAACGTGGAGTATGTCTTCTACCACTACTCGAGGTTCTGCGAAGAAAGAGAGAGGCCACAGGCTCCAAGACGTCATGACGCCGGAAAACATCATCAGGCTCATGCTCGCGAGTGAGCCGAACTGGCTTGCGGTTGCTTCCTTCGCCCACTCAGTTGTGATAAGACTGAGAGATGAAGGAACGGACAGAAAGGGATGA